GAACTACTACTAAACTACTAAATAAAAATAAAATACAAACACAGTGGCAAGGTGCGACCCTGCTCCGAAGGTGCCATTTTTCAGAATAGTAAATATTGTTGAAAATGAAAGTTTAGTGGTGGTCCAGTCCTACCTTTAGGTCTTTGGTGTGTTTGTCAATCAGCTTCTGCACATTAAGATTCTCCTCCTTCTGGGCGGCAGCAGCGAGGACGTGCTGCTCTGCAGTAGACGTCATCTCGGCTCGTAGCTCCAGCAGAGCTTTACTGAGACCCTAAGACCACCATGGACACAGGGATGACAGCAACATGCAGCGGCTTTTTCATGTGCACATTTGACCCTGCTCCCAAACTTGACCTTAGGTCAGGGATGGTGTGTTAAAAGGTGCCTTTGTCTGTGTTCCTTGTGGGGATTATTTACTAATGAATTACCTGGATTTAAGGCTGAACAATGGCTAATCTGTCAACAGAAGCTTAATGTTACAGACTTCAAAAGAACTTTAATGGATAAACGTATCCAGAGGTGAGTGACTGCCTCGTAGCAGCCAAACAGACAATCAAGCAGGGCGGTTTTGTTCTGGCATGCACAGATCTGGAAACAGATCAAACTGAAGGAGTGACAGCAAGATTCAAAAGACTCAGTATTTCCTCAGTGCCTCAGAAATCACACCAATAAACCAGTTCTACAGGTCAGAGGAGTGGGCTCGTAATCAAAACTTTGCCGGTTTGTATCAGAAATCTGTGCATGTGCAACATTTAATTAAAAATAAAGACCTTGAGTTGTTTCTCTTTTTGAGCGAGCTGTGCCTTGAGTCGTTCCACGAGGTTTTTCATGGTGTTGCTGGGGGAGCGGACGTTGGCCTCCTTTTGGGCCTCCAGTTCAGTGCGGAGGTCGTTCATCTCCCTCTCCATCTGGACAATCTGGATCCTCTGGTCCTCATTCTCACCAGTCACAGCTTTCAGTTGGGTGGAATGATGATCCTCCATCCTGGAAGAAAATCACCCCGTTAGTTTGATTTAAAAAAAGTTATTATTATTAGGGGTGTAAGAATAAAGATAGACTGAAAGATCACCAGACTGTTGCCAGTAAACAGCCCTGGTTATCAGTGCCAAACTGTGGTGACACCACTTTCCCTAAGGCTGATCCTAACCACCTCTCATTGGTCCGTCAGACTCTCCCGCTCAAAGAGATGAAGCAACAGAACTCACTGATGTTCAGCCTGATAATATACAGGAGGAGCCAAGCAGGGAACTGGGAGATATCTGTGCCGCAACCCATATGTTGGACAAACAGGTACTGTCAGTGGCTCCATACAGCAGTAGCAGTTGAGGTCACAGGAAGTTGTCGGTGCAATCTCCCAGAGCTACACTGGGTAGAAGCCTTTAATGTGCCTCAGACATCAAAGCAAAGTGTGCAGACTGATGAGTACAGAGGATACTGGAGGATACTGGGGGATACTGGAGGATGATGGAGGATGCTGGGAGAGACTGGAGGATACTGGGGGATACTGGAGGATACTGGAGTATACTGGGAGAGACTGGAGGATACTAGAGGATACTGGAGGATACTGGGAGATACTGGAGGATACTGGAGGATGCTGGAGGATACTGGAGGATACCGGAGGATACTGGAGGATACTGGGGGAGACTGGAGGGTACTGGAGGATACTGGAGGATAATGGAGGATACTGGAGGATACTGAAGGATACTGGAGGATACTGGGAGATACTGGAGGATACTGGAGGAGACTGGGGGATACTGGAGGATACTGGAGGATCCTGGAGGATACTGGGAGAGACTGGGGGATACTGGGAGAGACTGGAGGATACTAGAGGATACTGGGGGATACTGGAGGATGATGGAGGATGCTGGGAGAGACTGGAGGATACTGGGGGATACTGGAGGATACTGGGAGAGACTGGGGGATACTAGAGGATACTGGGGGATACTGGAGGATACTGGGAGATACTGGAGGATACTGGAGGATCCTGGAGGATACTGGGAGAGACTGGGGGATACTAGAGGATACTGGGGGATACTGGAGGATGATGGAGGATGCTGGGAGAGACTGGAGGATACTGGGGGAGACTGGGGGATACTGGGAGAGACTGGAGGATACTGGGGGAGACTGGAGGATACTGGGAGAGACTGGAGGGTACTGGAGGATACTGGAGGATGCTGGAGGATACTGGAGGATACCGGAGGATACTGGAGGATACTGGGGGAGACTGGAGGATACTGGGAGAGACTGGAGGGAGAGTTGGCTGTTGGCTGACAAACGTACAGCGGTGAACGACCAAGAGGAGGTGGAGAATGTGATCAAATAACTCCTGGTCGTGTGGAGAACTAAACTAGGCAATATCAAAGGTTGGGTTTCAATAAATATGAAACAAAGTGTAGAGCAGTGTATTTACAGGTGGCCCAACTCTGTGGGTGACAGGTTGATGTGCGTGTGTGTGAGATAAAGCACACAGAGGAAAATGTATCCCAAGAACAGAACATTAATAACACAGATCCAGTCGGACGTGGAACCCATAAAAAACTGCTGCATTTCATTTGCCTTCAAATGGGTTCAACTGGGTTAAAGAATATTTTATGTTTGATTTGACCAGGAAAGATGGGCTAATGAAACCTTCATGGATGTTTGTCATTAGGTGAGACAGACACAAACAGACACAGACGTATGAAGATGGAGAACAGAGTCCGTACATCCATGGATGAATAAGTCACACATTTGTTAAGGTCGACAGTCAATAGTTTAGGTTCATCAGTAAATGTATGTTTCACATCAACATCAAGTTAAAAGTTTTATCCAGGTGAAACTAAAGTTTCCAGTTGGTCTTCACATCTTTGTCATGTTTTCTTGTCACACCACATTCTTCTGTAGAAGCAGGTCTGAGTTCAAGTGCTGTAGGAAGAAACAAATGACTACGAAACAGAAACATTTTGGCTCCAGTGTTTCTGGAAAATGATTGATACACATTTCTTTTATATGCTCTCTGGCCCTTCATCCATGTTCAATATTCTTTTAATGACAACAGTCAATTGAATTTGGAATTCAATTATGCAACAGATAAGGAGGAATTTATCAAACTGCTAGGATTCCTACCGACATTATTTTTGGAGACCGGTGGACAAGATGAGAGGTCAGGGAAAAGGTTTTCAACAACATTAGGACTAAAAGGAAATAATCCAAAGAGATCGTGACACATGATGCAGGTGAAATTATAAACAGTCACCGTGAAGTCTTCAATTTCAGTCTCACTTTTCATGAATCTAGTGGATCACCAGGCTGTTTGTGTTAAACCTACCTCGACACGTCGTCAGTGTGTTTCTTAGCCTGTGTTTCCATGGCGACCCGGAGCTGATCCAGCTCTGCCGTGCTCAGCTTCAGTTTCTCTGTGAGTGAGGAGAGTGAATGGTCCTGGTCAGCCACCGTCTGCTCCAAATCAGCCAGAGATTCCAGGTGCTCAGAGGTGGGCGGCCTGAAGGTGGGCTTCCCCACCAACTCCTGCGTGAGCGAAGAATTGACCAAACAAAAACAAAAAACACTTCATGTACGTTGTCTCCATGGTCCACGAACATGCTGGTAGATGAAGGAGTTGGTTTTTCTAAATCTCACTTCCTGTGCTACACACTAAAACATTTGTCGATACTTTTGTTCCCTGATTGATTGATGATGATTCGTTGAGTGTATCTTGACACCTTGAGACCCTCACACGTCATGTTTACCTTTGCTGTCTGTCTGATGCGGTCCAGTGTGGTGTCTGCGTTCAAACTCAGCTTCTGCTCCAGCGTCCTGAGTTCCTCGCTGTGTCTTCTCCTCGTCTCGACCTGATCCTGGTGTCAACAACATTTCAATCACACATTTGTGGAAACTGAAGTTTCTTCTAAGGGTGAATTTAAATCTCAATTACAGGGTTTAAGGTCAAATAATAGTTTTGTCATTCATCATCATTCACTAATTTATTAGAAGGAAATTTTGCTAATGAGTTAACACTTATAATAAACAACAAAAAGAAGCTCTGACTGCCGTACCGTGGCAACTTTCTTTAAAATTGATTTTGTTTTGCCTGAATTCCCTAAAATTGGTCATGCTATTTAAGATACTACACTTTCAAAGTTGTTTTTTTTACAGGTCTATAAAACTTTAAACTGCTCTCTGCTCCTTTATTCTTCAGAGATTCTGGCCAAATCATTAGGAGCCTCAGCAGCTTTTCTTTGTACTGTTCCTCATGTGTCCTATAAAAGCAGCTCTGAGGCTTTTACACTCCTGAACTTTGACACTGCTTTGTAAAACTGCATTTAATTGTTTGTTTGTTTTTTTCAAAAAAAAAAAAAGAAGAAAACTTTTTGTCTCACAAATGTTCTTGGAGAGAGGCTGTGGGCTGTGCTCATTCTGTGTATTTAGTTTCATCATATATTTCTCTACCTGTTCAGCTTGTTTGATCGTTTTCTTTATGATGTCCTCTTTTTTGTCGAGTTGTCGCTGGAGATCCTTGATGGTCTGGTGAGCCAGCCTCAGGGCACGTTGGCCGTCAGACTGACCCTCCTCATGTTTAGCCTGGTTGGTCAACAGACGCTCTTGGTTGGCAGCGGCCGGTAGCTGGAGACGCAGCTGGTTGATAACTTTATCTCTGGACTCGATGTTCCGCTCGGCCTTTACAAGGGCAGCTTCTTTCTCTTTCAGCTTCTACATTTCACAGAAGGTTTTAAACAATGCAACGTGCGCTTCATTGTTGGAGAATCACTGATCTCTGGGGGAATAGGAAGCTGTACCTCAGACAAGCTCCTGTAGGTGGCCTGTGTGTCCATAAATGTGAGCCCATTCTCTCGAACTTTACCCAGAGTAGATTCAGCATGACGTGGACCTGGATCTGGCAGTGAAGCTGCACCAACTTCAAACTGAGACACAGATAGACAAGTTAACATTAGGACAATTCTCATTAAACTTCAACTTGAACTTAGCTGACCATGACGGCAGACCTAGTCATCAGGACGATGAATCATTTGGGTGAAACCTTTATTTTTTATCTAGGCCCGTGAACAACATTTACCTTTTCCACTTTGCGGTGTTTCTCAAATCGGTCCAGTTGCTGCTCCAGCTCCACTTCACGCTGATCCCACACTAGCTGTCTTTTTTCTTGAAGCTTGAAGGAAAAAACAGAAACGTTCACGACAATACCTATTTTTTCTTGAAGCTTGAAGGAAAAAACGTTCACGACAATACCTTGACTATGAATCCTTTTGACCTTTGTCATTAAAATATATATAAATTGAATAAGAAACGAAAATAAACACATTGTTTCAGTAAATGGTAAGAGTTTAGTAAGACCATGTTTTGCTGCACAACATCCTGTTCCAGGGAGTGGATCGTTCTCTCCTGTTCCTCCACCAGGTTCTTCAGGTACTTGAGCTCCTCCCTCTGGACTACTAGTTCTCTGCTCTTGCGCAGCTCCTGCAGTCGACACTCCTCCATCTTCTTATGCCACTCTGTGACCTGTAAGGACGTAGAGAACCGATTCTTTCCAGATGTTTCATTCACAGCAGTTTCAGTCAGCTGTAGTGTAATGTTTCATGACTACTGGTATTTGTCTCCAAATGTGGTGAAAGCACTTACTTTCTGAGCGCCCTTCACGTCCTTCAGTGTGGAGATGAGCTCCTCCAGCCCTTGAAGTCTCAATTCCAGCTCTGCAGCCCGGTCTTCTGCTCTCCTCCGCTCCTCCTCTGCCTTCTTCCTCTCCTCCAGTGCTCTCACCCGGTCATCCAGAAGGCTCACCATGGTCTTAGAGAACTTTTCTATCTGATACAGTGGCACCGCTCCGGCGAACTGCCTTCGTAGGGACTGAATGGTCTGGCGTAAGTGGTTGGAGCGGTTTCTGCTCTCCTGGTTTACAAGGAAAAGCGTCTGCTCGCTGGCGTCCAGCTGTTGTTCTGTGCGAAGTTTGTTGGCCTCTAACTGCTGAAGCCGAGAGGTGGCAGCCTCCAGTCGGGCCAGAGCAGCAGACTCACTGAGCTGCACGGCCACGATGTGCTGTTGGAGCTGCGCAATGAAGGCTTTCTCATCTGACTGAGTCTGAGGGAAAAGACACCAAGCTTCAATACAATCCTTAAAGCTGTCTGAACATGTGGCTTCTGAAAGGAAAACCCTTGAAAGAATATTTGTTCAAAGACACCACACATTTACCTGGTACTCCATTATTTGTCTCCTCAAAGTTTCAACCTCCTTTTCACTGGACTGTTTCCTGGCTCGGAGAGCGGACACCTGCATTACAGCCACATCTGACATCTCCTGAAATCTATGGACAAAAAATTAAAAAAAAAAATACGAACCATGTCGTCACAAACTGTGTCAAGTTGGTCTTTAAAATGTATAATTCTACAGTTATGGTTATTATATAGACATAGTTGACGACACCTACTCTTTGTCTAAAGGAAACGCTTTTGTCGCTGGTGTAACGTTAATAGTTGCATTTGTTTGTAGTCTACAAAAAGAACTTATTTTCAACATTAAAAACAATTTATTTGTAAATGATACTAAAAATTCAAATCCACTGCATTCTTTGTCCGTTTGCCTGTCAGGTTAAGATAAGGTAAAAGATACCACCAAAATAAATATTTGAGTTTTATACGCATTTCTAGGAAGTGTCATTCATTTGTAGAAAAATGTTTCTAAAGTAAACCAGATAACAGAAGTTACCAAAGTCATCATTCAGAGAGGATATAAAACAGAAGGATGGCTGTAAATCAAAGACAAAGATTCTTGTCTTTGAGAAACATTTAACTTCATGTATCCATTCATCATTTCATGCTGCCACCTAAATAAACAGGTTTCCATAATGAACTGCGCTCATCTTTCATATTTCACCACGTTGATAATATGTGGCTAAAGCCTTGATAATTCACCCGACGCCTGCACAACGTCAGACTCACTTTGAGATCTCGATACGAAGCTCAGCCTCGCTCTTCTCCAGAACTCTTATCGTGGCTCTGTCGGCGTCGCTAACAGCTTTGCTAACGCTGTCCGCCAGCTCGTCTCTCAGATCCCGCTCCATCTTCTGGGCATCCAAATTCATCCTGGTCAACTGAGGACAAAGTACAAGGAAACAACATTAATGCTGCTCAACTTGTTTGAGCTCAGTTTATAGAGAGCAGTGCTAGATCAAGGGCTGCATAGGTGGTGAGGTGGTTAGCACTGCTGCCTGACTTCTGGTGAATGAAGTCACCAGATTGAATCCTGCAAACCAGGAAAATACTTTTTGAGAATGAACTGCTGGGTTGCTGGTTCGATCGCTGGTCTTTCT